GTTAGGATAGGTCAATGTTTGGCTCAGATACAACTATTTGAAAATCTGGAATCTGAGGGTGCAATCTAAATATTGAGAAAATCGCCTTTAAAGTTGTCCAAATGAAATTCTTATCAATGGATATTACTAAATAAAAATTGAGTTTTGATATATTTACGGTAGGACATTTACAAAATATCTTCATGGAACATGATCTTTACTTAATATCCTAATGATTTTTGGCATAAAAGAAAAATTTATAATTTTGACCCCAGCAATGTATTGTTGGCTATTGATACAAATATACTCGTGTGACTTAAGACTGGTTTTGTGCTCCAGGGTCACATATATATATTAACCATTTATTCTGGTGATGGCAAAGCTATATTTTCAGCAGTCATTATAGTCTTCAGAATACATGAAGCACCAAATGTTTTTTGGTGCTCAAAAAACATTATTATTATCAGTGTAGAAGATGGTTGTGCCTTTTAGAAATTTTTGTGGAAAAGTTATATATTTTTTGCAGGATTCTTTGATGAACAGACAGAAGAGCATTCATTTAAAACAGGCTGGAGAATATATATACCCCCTCTAGTCTGCTCTGGGCCATATTTTGCTTTCACATGCTTGTTTATAGCATGACAGAAGGCACAAAAATAATTTATAATCCATGCACAGGTGTGAGCAGGAGCATTCCAAGAGTATGGCAGCCAAGAGATCAGACTGGCAGACTCATAGAAGGACACAAACCAAAACACAACACACACAGGTGCCTTATGCCATCCTTTAGTAAAATTAAATCCATCAGAACAAAGCTGTTACAGTAAACCCAATCACTACATATCTCCACTTCAGCATGAATGAAAGGAAGCCTGCTGTTTCCTACAGTAAGGACATCGGTACAGTCTGCTTAAGTGCTTTCCTCTCCTTCGCCCTCCTACATGCTGTGCAGGTGCGGGCGATATGACCGAGACAGTCAAATGACGAGGCTGAAGGTTAAGACAGAGTAAAGAGGCAGGACGAATTGACCATAATTAACAGACTCATGGAGACTCGGGCATCTGCACTGTCCTCCATTAGACTCACTGAGGCATATCCAAGCAGGAGCCAGAGCCAAGAGCCAAGAGCCCAAGATTAATGCAAACAGCCACCCTCGTTATAGAGGAGCGCGTCTGTTAACTCTGCTAATTGTTATTAATAGCTGAGAAAACTGAGAAATGTGTTGAGAATTAATCGAAGGCCTCATGAAAACATTTTATCATTTTACTTTTCATGGCAGCGGAATTTTCTCTGAACTCCTCATTTATTAAGAATTGTATGTCATTAGCAGGTCCAGAAAGACATACAGTA